ACCCAGTGTTGCCCATGCCTAAATAACCTGGCTTTTACTCTGAAAGAGTTATAACTAACATAGATTATTTATCAACTGGGAAACATCATTGTACAACAAATGAAGTAACCATAACAATGCTACATGGTAGATAGAATTGTTGTTCTAATCTTTGTAAAAAATTATTTGCATAGCTTGTATTGCTTTGTAAATGTAAAATCTTATCCACCAAACTCGTAAATTTGTAATTTGTTTGGGGAAAAGAAAAAGAAAATAAATTAGTTTTATTACATGATTTTAATGGTGCAATGAAAATGTTATTGTCATTTTAGTGAAATCATTTGGGATAATATTAATCATATAAACATTTGGCTTCATACCTACCTCTTGCTCTGTCAGTGACTTCAAAATATTATTTTATTTTATTTTATTTTGGGAGTCTTTCTTGTATTTTACTAATTGCTTCTTGTAATTATGAAATTGATGCTCTTTGCTTCAAGTCCCCTACTGCTAATGTTTGGTTAAAAGAGAAACTAAGGTGTTACAAAAAGGATAAATTATAACTTTTTATTCTTATAGTTTGACCCAAATATCATTTTGATTCATATTATTTCAATTTCAACAATTTAGTGCCTACATTTTTAAGTTTTGATTGGTCATTCCAATATGAAAAAAGATCGAACACTTGAGTTTGCTTTGTTATAAGTTAATAGGGGTGTAAATCCGGCCTGGCCCGGCCCATCTCCCGCCAAAATTCGGGTTGGGCAGGGCCATGAGCCAAAAAATTAGGCCTAGGGGTACTCGAGTCTTGGGCGGGCCGGAGGGTTAGGTCTCTGGCCAGCCCGGTGGGCCTAAGTCTGGTCTCGGGCTTGGGCCGAGCTTAGGCAAGCCTGACCATCTCTTTTTGTTTTTTTCAATTTTTTCTACCAAAATTTTATTATTTTTCACTAAAAAAACATTGGGCCTCGGGCGGGTCGAGGGGCCGAGCGATGAGCCGGGCCTTGAATGGGCCTTAAGCGGTCCAGTTAGGCCACGGGCCGGACCAGGTGGACCGGGCTGGGGTTCAAAATGATGGCCCAGGCCTAAGGTCTCGGGCTGGGCTTGGGTCCAAACAGGCCGGGCCCACCTCATGTCGCGGGCAAGCTTCGGGCTATCCACGAGTTGTGAGCCATTTTTACACTCCTATAAGTTAAGGCGTTTGAAAAGTTACTAAAAAAAAATTTATATGACATTTGAGAGGATTATGTCCAAGGTGCTGTTAGGCCATGGATAAACTACAGATTCTATTCTCACTGTCTTGGCAATGGGCCGTGCTTACCTTAAAAAATTTTAAAGCCCAAGCCCGGCCTAGTCTCAAACTCTTGGGGTTTGTTTAGTCAACGGCCCGAGCTTGGGCTTATTTATTATAGATTCTTAAGGTCCATGCTCTACCCACAAGCTTAAAAAATAGGGGGAGTTACGGGCAGATCCTTTAGACCGAACTTAATTCCTATGAGGTCCTAACTCAAAAAGATTTAGCACATCTTCCTATTTTACCCTTAACATTCAGTCCAAACAAAGAAATCACTCAATAGTTCTATTGTCTCTCTCTGTTACAATTGTTCAAATCTCTCTCTCTTAACTGACCACCGAAAACCACTTCTGACTGTCGGTGACCATCATCGACCTCCAATGACTCTTTTGGCCTTCATCTTTGATTGCCAGTAGCCATTATTGACCTCTAGCAACTACCTCTGAACTTTGACAATATGTTTTTGTGTGTCCATTTTCCATCTCCACCATGTCAATACTGCCAGTACCTCCTCAAACAAGGTGGCAACAAGAGAAAAAGAGAAGAATAAGGATGAAAAAAATGAAGGAGAGAGATAAGGAATCCTTACCAGAAAATAATTCAATACATCCCTAGATTAACACAAAGAATCAAAGACAAATCTAATAAAAAAAATTATGATTGGCACATTTAGTGATAAATTTAACCACTGTCTGTTGTTAAAAATTATAAAATCTCATCATCATCATCACAAATCAACATAAGATTCAAAGACATATTCAATAATAAATTTATCATTGATTGTTTGTTAAAAAATTATAAAAAGAAAATCTCGTCCTCATTGTCACAAATCAATACAAGATTCAAAGACATTCAATGTTAAATTTATCACTGATAGACACATTCACTGATAAATTTCTCATTGACTGTTTGTTAGAAAATTATAAAAAGAAAATCTTATCATCATCGTCATAAATCAATACAAAGATTCAAAGACATATTTAGTGATAAATTTATCACTGATAGACGCATTCACATAAATTTCTCATTGACTGTTTGTTAAAAAAATTATAAAAAAAAAAATCTCGTTATAATCGTCACAAATCAACACAAAGATTCGAAGACATATTCAATGATAAATTTATCACTGATAGACACATTTATTGATAAATTTCTCACTGACTGTTTGTTAAAAAATTACGAAAAGAAAATATTATCATCATCGTAATAAATCAACACAAGATTCAAAGATATATATCAGTGATAAATTTATCATTGATATATTAAACCCTTGTTTGCAACAGATTTGGTTTGAGAGAAATAAAGAGAGAGGGAAGGAAGAAGAGAGAGGCGATATTTGGAGAATCAATGTTGCTTATAGTCGTTTGAAGTTGATTTCACAATAAAAACAACTAGATCAATGTAGATCTAGGACGGAGTATAGATCAGCAATGACATAGTGTAAATTGGCGATGGCGAAGATGGTTGGTATACAATGGCCGTGAATCGAAGCCGGTAAAGTATAGATCGACAACGGTGGAGATAGTTGGCGAATGATGATGGTGGTAGTAGCCGGTGAAAGTGGTGGTGGTCAGTTGTAGACGACGGTGGTAGTGGTGGTGGGTGAATGGCCATGGCCATGGCCATACCACTAGACAAAGAGAGAGATGAACTGAAAACCCAAACCCAAACTCACATCATAGTATTTTGATGGCAAAAAGAAAACAGAAAACGCAGCAAAAACAAGGGAAAACAAAACAAGGGTAAAATAGTACAAAAAATAAAGCTCCAAGACTTATTAGTGCATATGACCAATCTTCAAGACTAAAAGTGTAATAACTATAAAAAGCAGGACAGGCCAGTAAAAATCTCTAAAAAATAAATCTACGAGCTTTGGATTGGATTTGGCCCATGTACTCCTAATTTGGTCATTAATTCAAGGTTTAATGAACAAAATGATCTATAACTTGTAAGTCTTATTGAACATACTTATTTACTTCAATATTATTTATTTATTTATTTATTTTTTTGAGAACTTATTTACTTCAATATTCATTTTTTTTTTGAGAACTTATTTACTTCAATATTCATTTATTTATTTATTTATTGAGAACTTATGGTCCAATTTTATTGACTAAACTTATTTACTTATAACTGTTGCTCATTTTCACTTATCAATATTTCAAAAAAGTGTTGATGCTTTAGGACTTTTTAGTGCATTAAAAAAGTGTAGAAGACTTATAGCTATTGAGGACCGTTTTTGCTCAAAAAAAAAAAAAAAAAAAAAAAAAAAAAAAAAAACAAAAAACAAAACAAAAACAATAGCGCTCGAGGAAACTTAATGTGAGCTTGACTTGATTGGTGAAAATTATATAAAACGCCAACAAATATTTTTAAAATTTCTTTTCAATTCAAAGACAAAAACATAGAATCATGGCTGAATCAATTTTTTTTCTTTGTTGAAATATAGGTTTTTTATCACATAAAATTATGGTTGTTAATTTGAATTTATTTTTCCTTTTATGGTTGTTAATTTGATTTTTTTTTTGGGGTCATTAGTGCAATTTTTTCAAATTTAAAAGTTTTAAATGGAATTAAGATTGTCTCCGGTCATTACAATGGACTGCATCATCTAGTTTTTTAATTTCGTTTTACAATTGGGTTTATATATATACTAGGTGCGTGGGCAATGTGATATAGCATGTGCCCATGAATTGATGTAATGTGTAATTTGGAAGAATGTGATTACAAACCATGTGAAATTCATAATGTAGATCAAAATGTATAATAAAATAGAGGCTATAACATTGCACATAATAGAGGTCAAGAACAAGAAATCCTTCAAAATAAGGATGCAGATATTTTAGATCTTCAACATTAAACAATAAATCATAAACAAGTTTAGTTATAAACAATGATGGTTACATCAATAGATAGCTCATCCACAACATTATCACCTTCAAGTTTTTTCCTTTTCTTTTCAAGTATCACTACCACTACAACAATTTACACTTTTGGCGACCAAGTTTGGCGACTAAACTTTTTTTAGTCGCCAAAAGTTGTAGAATAGGTGACTAAAAATTATATTGGTCGCTGTTTAATACGGTTTTTGGCTACTAATTTTTTTTAGTAGCTGTATCTTAATTTTTGGCGACTAAAAAAACATTAGTTGCTAAATATGCCACAATAGGCAACTAATAATTGTTTTAGTCGACATTAAAGCATGTTTTAGGCTACTAAAATTTTTGTTAGTCGTGGTATACCAGTTTTTGGCTACTAAAATAAATTTAGTCCCCAAAAAGCTAGCACTATGTTTGCTATTAATCATTGGCGACCAAAGTTTTGGTCGGCAAATATTTATTTTCGGTGACTGAAATATTTTTAGTCGCTATAAGGTAGTTTTTGCCTACTAAAATAATTTAGTCACTAAATAAAAATTCTAAATTTTACTTTTATCTTTGGTGATGAAAAACTTAGTCGGTGAATATTTCTTTTTAGTGACCAAAATACGTTTAGTCGCCAAAATGGTTACTTTTGGCGACTAAAATATTAGTCGTTGTTAGTTAAACGTTTGGCTACTAAATAAATTAGTCATTATAAATTAACCTTTGGCGACAAACAAGAAGTTTAGTCGCCAAACGTATATAAAATTTAAGAGGGAAACGTTAAAAGATTGGCGCCTAGTTTCTTCTCAGTAATTTCGAAAACAGGTTTTTCTTCCCTCCCTCTCTCTCTCTCTCTCTCTCTCTCTCTCTCTCTCACACACACACACACACACACACACACACACACACACAGAGAACCAGTCACCACCAAATCTCACCTCACTGAAGTCAGTCACCACTGTTGCTCACCGTAAGTCGCACATCGCCACCGCCACAGCCGCAAATCACACCACCACCACCGCAATACAAACAGGTTCTCTTGCTCTCTCTCTCTCTCTCTCCCCCTTCCTCTATTTCCCCATTTCTCACTCTTGCTCTAGGGTTTATATGATTTATTTAGTTTAATTTCCTGTTTAGCTTGTTTTTGGATTAGTTTCTTCAAATTGCAGTAAATTTGGAGTTGCATTGGTAGATTGTCTAGCTAATTTTGCAGTAATCTTTTTTTTTTTTGTTTTTTTTTTGGGGCGGGGGGGGGCTGGGGGGGGGGGAAAAATTTGGGTTCAATAAGGCATTTGAGTTTATCAAGGAAATATTTAGGGTCCTTGCGGTTGTGTCCTGCTTTGGGGGGTTTAGGAGCTGGCTCTCTCTTTGATCACCAGCGTTGTGGCCATATCATCTTTATCATCACCATCTCTCATTTCTCTCTCGCTGGTTAGAAGTAAGAACCCTTTTTCTTTGTATCTCAACCCCTATATATCTATATACCTACCTGTTACAGAAACAACATTTCCGTAAATGGGGTTAAGGCTAGGTACATCATACCCTTTTCTCGATTGGGATTATTATTATTATTATTATTATTATTATTTAGGAACAAAATTCAATTTTTGAGTGTGTAACTTGAAGAAGTAATTGTGATTTAAAACACAAGGGTCTTTGTTTTAATTTAGTCAGTAACGAAATTGCTTTACTTGATGCTATCATATAAATGTGTGTGTGTGTGTGTGGAACACAATGGTCTTTGCTATCATTTTGGGACATCCTAAATTTGAAAGGACTTAAAATGTGGAACAGAGGGATTTATCCAAAAAAAAAAAAAAAAATTGGGACAAAGGGAGTATATGTCTAGACCTTATGTTCTCACTATTTTAATTTTCAGTTAACTTACTATGAACAGTTTTAACTATGAATTGTAATTTTTGGCTATAGCAAGTGCATCTTTTCTTCAGCCTACTGACAGTTTTAACTGTCAATTGTAGTTTGTGGCTAGAGCGAGTGCGTCATTTCTTCAGCCTAAAGCCAGACAACCGGTCATGAATTTTATTGTTACAACTTAAGGTATACAATGTTATATCCTGATTATTTGTTGTTTTCTTGAACATATTTATGCTTATATAGTTGTACTTTGTGCACAAGGCTCCTGCTTACAACATAATCTGGGAGAGGTAGTTAACATATAAAGATGAATAATGTTGATTTGGAATAAGTGACTGATCTTAAGCTTCTAAACTGCTGATCATGTTTCTTGAACGGTGCCAAAACTTCCATTTTGTTGTGACAATCTTCTGAAGTGTCGATTTAAGTCCCTTCCACCTTTTTTGACCAAAAAGTTGGTAAATTGATGGATTATCTGATTTTGTTGAGGATCGTACCCATTCTAGTCTACCAAAATTATAAATAAAATAAAAAAAAAAACTTTTTTTATAGGTTTGTGTGTGCCATTTGTGGAAGCATCAACATTTTTTTTTTCTAGCAACATTACAATTAGTTCTTTCCATCTAATCATCTAGTCTGGGATTTTGAGGGAATGGATTCATGTAGTCAGCTGTTAGTATTTTAATTGCTATAATTTTACATCTTGTCACACCCCTCCCTCTTCCAATGGGTGAGCCTTAGATTGTGAAAGAGGGACTAAGGATGCAATCTAAAAGCTGTGGAGGATGGAGATAACAAATTGGGTCAACATTTCTCAAGTTGACGTTTTGATACCTCTGTTTGCATTTGGTTCCCCAAATATTATACCAATTAAGATGTCTATGTCAAAGTGGAGTCATGTGGCTGGTCAAAGTGCAGATATCTGTGATTTGTGGCGCTGAACTACTGATTGCTTATTACTTCAATCCTGTTTCATTGATTTTTTTCCTTCTTCTGGTAATTAAATAAAGTTGAAAGGGGTGAAATCTCTTTACACTGTAGGGGTGAATTCTCTTTACACAGTGGGAGAAAAACTAACATTACAGGAAATTACACTTTTGGCGATTAAAAATGATGACTAAAAAAAATTTGGTCCACTAGGAAGGCAAGGAATGAGTATGTTTTTAATGACCATCCACCAAATTTTGCAAGATTGAGGAGCTTGTTAAGGTTAGGGTGGCTATGTGGGCCAAATCAACAAGTAAAGGTGTCCATTTTTCAATCCATGATTTTGTCTTAAACTTTAGTGATGTTAGATTTTGCTTGTAATTTGATTGTGTTGATGTAGCCCTGTTGGTGCTGCAGCAGATTTTTTTTTTGCTTTTGTTTGTTTGTTGCTCTGTTGCCCTATTTGTTTGGGGATGCTACTGTGTTGCTCTGTTTGTTTGTTGCTTAGTTGCTTTGTTGCTCAGATTGATTCTATTATACTAAAAATAAGCGAAACAATCAAAATAATAAATAATTAAAATAAACAATTCTTTACCATTAAGATATAACACAAATAAAGAATAAAATATTGTTTACTAGAAGCCAACAATTGTGAATTGTGTAGTGAAGTCCAACTCAAGTTTGAACACAACCAATATAAATTAAATACAACAACACAACTAACCTAAAGAGGTTGAGTTCAGTTCTTCAGTTTTATTTTATTAGTTATTGAATTTTATTTAAGCAGAATTGCTGCTTATAAGGCTATATATCCAAGCGTGGGGACTCTCACAGATGCGGTTGCTGCAATTGATCAAGTAAAGAACTTTTCTTATCCATCCATATATGTTATGGTCTTGTTTGATATTGGGATATATAGAGAGGAATATATTTTTTTGATTGGATATAGGGGATAAAGAAAAACATATGGATCTCACATTTTTTATATCATTTGTTTGGTTATCCGATATGAATCTGATGATGATGTATTATATCCTCCAAAAGTAAATGATATGTAATACTAACTCCCTATGATATTACTGATCCCGTACCAAAAGATGGATAATCATCCTTCTAAAAAATAATCACTTTTTTTTTTTTTTTTTTTTTTTTTTTTTTTTTTTTTTTAATCTTATACTATATCTTACTCTAACCAAATATAATAAAATTGATTATACAATATATATAATTCATCTCATATCCTAAATATATTACATTCTATATCCCTAAGTACTACATATACTCCTCTGCCTGGAAGGCACAATCCCACTCTGGCCTAATGCAATGTTTCTCTTTTTGAACAACAATTTATTTTCAGGAGCAATTTCTTTGACTATTGGCCTGATGTAAATAGGACACGTAGGTTGAGAGTTAGAGTCGAAAATGCCTTCAACTTAGTCGAAAAAAGGTGTTCGCTTTATTCATATCAATCTCTCTCATTTGATTGTTCTCGAGCTATATCGAACCTATATTCATGTCCTTTTTGTTCAACTAAGTGGATCTACTTAAAGAAACATTTAATTAAGTAGAAGGAAAATGGAACTGTTATGATACTTTTAGAAACTTTGAGGGCCTCTGTTTGCAATTTTATTAGAGATTCTCAACTCAAGATGTCTTTCAGTAAAAGTAGTAATAAATTGGCCCTAAATGTTTATTCTTTTTATTAATTGCTGTTGTGTATCATGTGTTGTCATACTTCGTGCATGACTTGGCCAAGAGGAATGAATGACTATAATTATGGGGTGGTTAATGAGATATTAATACACAGTAGACAAACCTAAAAACAAAAAACACAGGACTTGTGGAGAACTTAAAAAATACTTCACATATTGGTTCCAATGTTTTGGAGAATTTGGAATTGTTTTGACATTATACAAATAAGAGGAGAAAAAGAAATATGAAAATAATATGTTAACTAAGTCATTAATTTTGTTAAAAAAGGAGAGGAGTTGAGAGAATATTTAATCATGCAAATTTCCCATGTTATCACAACGATGGAATTCCATTAAAAGATAAACCTAAAAAAAAAACACATAGGACCTGTGGCAAAACACAATAATTAACGTTCCTTAAACTTAACCAATAAGAGCGTTAAGGGGGTGAAAATGCAAAACAGACCCTGAACCACCGTACGAATGTCATAACCAGCTTCCTCACGACAAATAGGGCCTGTCACAACAGATGGATTATCATTAGCACGTGTAGGTTGGGAGTTAGAGTCGAAAACGCCATAAACATAATCGAAAAAAGGCGTTGAGGGGGCAAAAATGAAAAATAGCCCCTGAACCACCGTATGGATGTCACAACCAATTTACTCAAGACAAATAGGACCTGTGACAACAGATGGACTATCATTAGCATGTGTAGGTTGGGAGTTAGAGCCGAAAACGCTTTAAACTTAACCGAAAAAATGCATTAAAGGGGCGAAAATGTGAATCGGCCCCGAACCACCGTACGGATGTCACAACCAGCTTTACCATGAAAAATAGGACTTGTGACAACAGACGGGATGTAATTAGCACATGTAAGTTGGGAGATAGAGCTGAAAACACCTTAAACTTCATCGAAAAAGGGCACAAAAGGGGCGAAAGTGCAAAACAGCCCCCGAACCACCATACGAATGTCGCAACCAGCTTCCTCACAACAAATAGGACTAGTGACAACAGACGAACTGTCATTAGCATGTGTAGGTTGGGAGTTAAAGCCAAAAACGCCTTAAACTTAACCCAAAAAGGGCGCAAAGGGGGTGAAAATGCGAAACAGCCCCTAAATCACCATACAGATGTCATAACCAGCTTCCTCATAACAAATAAGACCAGTGGCAATAGACGGATTGTCATTAGCAGATGTAGGTTGGGAGTTAGAGCCGAAAATGCCTTAAACTTAACCGGAAAAGGGTTTTAAGGGGGCAAAAATGAAAAACAGCCTTCGAACTACCGTACAGATGTCACAACTAGCTTCCTCACGATATATAGGACCTGTGACAATAGACGAGATGTAATTAGCACGTGTAGGTTGGGAGTTAGAGCCGAAAACGCTTTAAACTTAACTGAAAAAGAGTGTTAAGGGGGCGAAAATGCGAAACGGCTCCCAAACCAGCCCACTCTTCTGAGTTACCTTTCCTTTCCACAACCATCCCAAGAGAGTCATCATTCTCAACTGACAGCAAGTAGAGTCTTGGAGGCAGAACTTTCAAACTTTGTTTACCAACCCAGCTATCAATCCAAAATCTGATTCCAGAACCATTTCTAGCAACTACCCTACATTTTGATAGACAAAATTTCCCAATTGGGGATTACTACTAGCAACCGAAAGAATGTCACCCCATACTCTTGAAACTCTGCTAATATCTTACAAGAATGGCATCCATCGCCCACCAATAAATTCATATTTAGAGCAAACAACTTTTTTCCATAAGGCCTTGTCTTTATTGTCGTATCTCCACCACCATTTTGATAACAAGCTGAATAGGCCCTAAATTCAAAATAGATCTCGAACCACCATATGACTCTCACGGGCAACTTCCCCATGACAAATAGGACTTGTGACAACTGACGAAATGTAGTTCGGACTCGTAGGTTGGGAGTTAGAGCCGAATACGCTCAAAACTTACTTTAAAAATGGCGTTTTGGGGGCGCAAATTCAAAACAACCCTTGAACGACCGTGTGGCTGACACAGACAGTTTTCCTATGACAAATATGACTTGTAATAACTGACGGAATGTTATTCGGACCCGTAGGTTGGGAGTTAGAGCCGAATACGCCCAACACTTAGTCGAAAAATGGCGTTTCGGAGGTGAAAATTCAAAACAGCCCCCGAACTTCCGTGTGACTCTCACGAGCATCTTCTCCATGACAAATAGGACTTGTGACAACTGACGGAATGTAATTCGGACCCATAGGTTGGGAGTTAGAGCCGAATATATCCAAAACTTACTCAAAAAAGGGCGTTTCGGAGGCAAAAATTCAAAACAGCCCTTGAACGACTGTGTGACTAACACGGACAACTTCCCCATGACAAATATGACTTGTGACAACTGACGGAATGTTATTCGGACCTGTAGATTGAGAGTTAGAGCCAAATACGCCCAAAACTTACTCGAAAAATGGCGTTTTGGGGGCGAAAATTCAAAACAGCCTCTGAACCGACGTGTGGCTCTCACGGGCAGCTTCCCTATGACAAATAGGATTTGTGACAACTGACGGAATGTAATCCGGATTCGTAGGTTGGGAGTTAGAGCCGAATACTCTCAAAACTTAGTCGAAAAATGGCGTTTTGGGGGCGAAAATTGAAAACAACCCCCGAACCGCCGTGTAACTCTCACAGGTAGTTTCCCTATGACAAATAGGACTTGGGACAACTGACGGAATGTAATCCGGACCCGTAGGTTGGGAGTTAGAGCTGAATACGCCCAAAACTTAGTCGAAAAAGGGCATTTCGGGGGCGAAAATTAGAAACAGCCCCCGAACCTCCGTGTGACTCTCACGTGCAGCTTCCCCATGACAAATAGGACTTGTGACAACTGACTAAATGTATTGGAGATGTATAGTAATGGAAAATTATGGGAAAAATATTCAGAAACCAAGTTAATTCAGTTTACGCCTTGTTATATTATATTAATTTCTTGAACGTACACAAGTGTGTTATATTATATTTAAGCTTTCATACAAGTATCAAACTATGAATGGTGTTTCTGAGGCCATGTGCTTCATGAGATATCAAGTATTCTTTCTTTAATGAACCATTTATAGGTGTCTCATCATACATCTCTACATATTTCCTTTTGTGATTGAACATTATTTTTGTTATTATTTTTCTCACATGTTCTAATATCCTGAATGAAATGGCACTGACAGACATTAATAAGTAGGGATAGTTTTATATCCAATGTAATGATTAAGTGCCTTTTGCAAACAATTAATGAGGAAGTTGGTAAAAAGAATACTTTCTATTCACATTGGGCTTTGATATTAGTTTAGCCACAAAATTTGGATACATGTTGTATACAAAAAGAAGATTGTTACATTAGCTTTATGTTAGTAATGACAAATTTAGTAATGATTGTTCTGCATTTGACAATGTTCCTTACAACAAAAGACTTTAAAAAGACTGATAATTGATTTATCATGGAAGGTTGCTTCTTTGATATGTTATTTGTCACTTGTTGCCAAATTCATTCAGTAGCCAACAGATAATTACTGGCATGCTACATAGATCACCTTTTGTCGTTGTACATATATATGATTTTTTGTCGTGTTACATAGATGTACTTTTTCCTTGGTACATACATCACATTTTGTCGTGGTACAGATTACGATGGTAATTTGTACCATGCCAAATGGTCATTTCACATGGTAATAAATGTAATTTTTGTATATGGAGGGCTTTGCTTTTTGTATGATTCTATGTTTTGTATGGAATTATTATTTTAGTTTGGACAATAGTTTGTTTGTATGTACTTTGATAGTTAAAGTTATTTATTTTTTGTATACAGATGCAGATTGTGGAATGATTGATAGTTTATGTATCATTTTATTTATATACGTATTACAGGTTGTATGAAATACAGACAGGTTATGGAAAAATTATAATATTTGCAATAAAACATAATATTATGTTTTTGGCGACTAAAAGTTTGGTGGCAAAAAATAAAAAATAAAAAAAAATAAAAAATCAAACATTTGGTGACTAAGGTACCGTTTGGTAACACTTACGTTTTCAGTTTTCTGTTTATATTTGCAAAAATAAAAAAAAAAACTCAAGTAAAAACTTGTTTAGTAAATTTTTGATTTATAAATCAATGGTCTCAGTTTATAATTTGGGCCAAAAAATGAGTTTACCTTTTGAGTTTTCAGTTTTTTTTTTTTTTTTTTTACCACCCAACACTAGCCACTACCTGTCACCATTTTCCACCACCATCTTCCGCCACCACCACCCACCCCCCACCACCCCCTCCCCCCACCACCCACCTAAAAGTAAAAGGAAAAGAAAAAGTTAATATGAACAAAATTTTTAAAAAATAAGGTGTAAAAAGAAAAAAAAAATTAAATTGATAA